ATTCACTATCGCTTTCCACTTGGAGCGGCTTACCCTTTTGTCACTTAGAGGGCGAAGTCGCCGAAGCGAGTCTAAAGGCCAAGGAGTCATCTTTGAAGGCATCAATGCACGGTGTTCTTCGACTCATTGTTACTCTAGATGGTAAAGATGTTGTCGACTACGCGTCCATGTCATAGAACCTTTCTGTAGCCAAGAATCTCATTATTGATCGACTCGGGGCGGATCCAATTGATTGGCAAAAGAAAAATCTATCGGAGGGCCCTTAGGAGAAAGAAGGAAGGTCTTAAGAAATGGAGCTCGGATCAGTTTCCCCCGCCCCCAATACTAGCTGATCAACCCAGTTGCAATCCTCCCCGCCAATGCCTATTTGACCTCTCCTATTCCTTCGACACATTTCCATGGAAACAGGGGAAAATGGCTTATTCCACATCAACCTAAGCCTGTTTATTCCGACTAAGTGATCCATTGGCAAAAAGAGGGCATTCCTCCTTCTTGCTTGAAGCTGTCTGGATTGAGTGGTCCTTTCTTGGGCAGCTACTGAGACATAGGTTGGCCCGAGCTTCCCTTGGCATACCTTCGTTACCATCACTAAGAAAAGTAAGTAGGAATTTACTTTTGGTGTTCTATGATTCACCTCCGAATAATGAGTAGGTAGTTCGATCTTTTTTATTTTGATCTCTTCAGTAAACTGATGGGGGGTTTGATTCTTTTAGTGTGGGCTAAGACTTTTTGCTTTTCTTTCTATTGATTGAGACCTAGCCTCTCTCCTTTGGTTCGTAGCCTTGGGGTTATACACTTGTCCTTAAGGCTTGTTGTATTTAGTATACAACATCAAGCAGTTCCGCTTTCCCTATCGATGATGTGCCGAGAAGTGCATTGTTGGAACTGGGTTGGAACCTCATTTTGATTTCTGGTCTACTGGAAATTTAGTTGATAGTATAGCTTCAAAGTGGAATTGATGTGCACCCAATTCCACGGACACTGTTGATATAGTTTGCTATTACTTGTGTAGCTTGTTTTTTTAGTGCCACTTACTCTACTCTATTGGGTAATTTTAGAGTGTCTTTATTGATGTCCGCTGAGAAAGACGGTAAGGCAAAGAGAAAGTACCACTTTTCTTAAGTTAAGATGAATCTAATCTATTGAAGAGTCAAGGTTTCCAAAGAGCACGGATGAGGCGAAGCATCGATCCAACTACATAACAACAGAAAGACATTACGGGCGGTCGTATCCCATCGTACCTTACATCAGTGCCTAGGGCCTACTGAAACGCTGTAGATCCTAGCAGAGTATCATGATGAAGGCCTAAGTGATGCTCATCAGCGTCGGGACAACGCCAAAAAACGAAAGAAGGGCTCTTTGAACGACTCTGGTGCTATAGAATCTATTTCCAGAAAAGGGCTAGTCTAAAGGCCTTGCCTTATGAAAGAAAGGAAGGATAAGAGGAGGGGAGCGTAGAGAGTAGGCTGCACGTGACAAACTATAATTTGGAAAATATAAATTTTTAGTGAGGATAGTTTTGTCTTGAATAAATTAATTTTCTACCTGCTTCTGCTTCTTGGAAGAAGCTAAAATTTTCTACTTCTTCCCAAAGTAAAAAAATTGCTTCTGCTGCTGGCAAAAAGTACTTTTCTGTATTGGCCAAACAACTCAAATTTTTTTAAAAGTATTTTTTTAGGGGAAAAAAAGTACTTTTGGCCTCCCATGAGCTTGGCCAACAGGCTCTAAGCTTGGCCAAGCTTATGGGCGGCCAAAAGCTTATGAAAAAATTTTCAATCACTAACCAAATAATGCCCTGAAAATTATTCCTATGACATTCCCAATCATGATTTTTCATAAATTTTTTGTAAATTGTGATCTGTGTACCTTCTTCAAAAGGAAACGCTTAGGTTTTAACCAAAAATACTAGAAAATCAAAGCCCAAATAAATCCAGGAAGAAAAAAAAACAAATAAATTAAGAACATATACGTTTCTCATTGCTCGTTCTTTCGATTCTACATGTATCCCTACAAAATCTTCTATTTTCCGTCTTTATCTTTTCGGCGTACGCATAAACCCAGGGGCGGATCCACCCCTTCAAGAAGGAGGTGGCATGGCACAAGGTAAGATGATAAAAATTTTATATACTTATGTTAAGGTTTTCTTAAATTAGGTCAATTATCTGATCTTGTCACCCACAACCGTAAACTAGACAAAGGTATCATGGCTGATAGACCTTTTTGAAAGCTTTTCTTGTGTGTAAAATTCAAGTTGAATTTATCTTAAATCTTGTCTGACTTTCTTTTTTCTTTGTGCTTTTATTTCCTTTTGCCCTAGTCATTTCCCTTTTCGGCTATCGCCAAATTTTCTGTTTGTCGTTTTATTATTTTTTTTATATTTTTCTTTTCTCTATTCTATTATTTTATATGTGATCTCTAGCAAGAACACTCAAAAAAGAGACTCTTAAACTTTAAAATTATATAAAATAAGCAATCCTCTTAATTAAATTTATGAGTTTTCTTCTTTCAAATCCGAAAAACTTGGGTCTTAATGAGAATTCTGGATTGAGATCAATTTTTTTCCATTTTTTTTGTTATATCATAAAAATTTGTATTATGCGATGGTTGTTAGATATAATTTAAATCACTTTATTATAATTTCGTAACCATTGCTTAAAAAATATGTGATTTATGATAAATTGTAATTTATCTAATTTATGCTTATGGAGTATAATTTATCTATGAAAAATATTTTTTAAAATTTTCTTATTCTGATTGATGTAATTCTCTTTCAGATGTTATCTTACTTGCGTAAATTAATTTTTAATATACAGAAAAGATGTAATTTCCCAGTGAAAATATTAATTTTAGCTATATTGTTATAATAAAGGTGTGATCCTATTTTAAAATTCTAATCACGCTTGCTTTTTCACATTTGAAATGTAATTTTAAATTTTCAAATAAAAAAATACCTATTAGGTTAACCCAAATCAATTCAAAAAAATCGATTAAACGTTTCTAACAAATTTTGTATTAGTCATTACAAATTATACATTAAGCAGTTCACTTTTTAACTAGTACTATATTTCGGGCAAATGCAATATATAAGAACTCGACCATAATAAAGATCAACTCTTATCTTAATCATAGAGACGGATTTAGAATTTATAAATTCAATCTGTAACATTTTTAGCATTGAACTTTTAATTTAAATATTAAAATATTAATAAACTTTTATATATAAATTTATGCACTGCGCCAAAAGTATTGTGTTCGGGTGAAACCGATACCTTGCATCGGAATCATCTGGCCAAACAAGCCGAACGCTCAAAATTAGTGGATATATGACGGGGATTTGTTCATTTTAGTTTCTCGCAGGGAAACCAATTGACCGTGGTATGTCTTCACGTAGTCCAAAAACACGAAGCCTTTTAATTCCTATGCCCATATATCATAGTGCATTAATATCACCCAAGACAAATAGCGCATTAAAAAAGCAACGCACTTATTTATTGTGCTGCAACAAAGTAAAAACAAGTGACACAAGGACCTGGAGAACAGGAGGAACAGAAGACAAGACAACCACTACCGTATGTGATTCACAAACAAAGCATACATTATCTTTTATTTACTAGGTAGTATTAGTTAAAAACTGACAAACGTACAACATGAAAATACAGGTTATGGTGGGGAAAAAAACAAAGTCAAATGCAGGCAACATTTCGCACATCATTATTAAAGGTGGGAAAAAAAAAAGATAAAGTTAATCTATATCTATTTATATATATACTATATTAAAAGCACAAAGGTCTTTAGCGAAATGTCGTTAGCCTTTTTTACCTCTTAACAATAGAATTCATATTGAATAAAATTATAATTTAAATTATTTTTCTAATATTTAGAAACTAAAATCTTTATCATTAAATCATTCCTTATTTGAATATAGTAAAAGGTTTCTAGGACACTAAAGTTAGATTAAAATTTTACTTTAGAAGGAAGTTTCGTTTTTCAAGAAAACTCCGCGATAATATTTGCGTTTCTTGTCATTGAGTTATAATCTACAAGGTCAATTTGGTCTCAATATTTACTTTCACACCAAATTATTTGTAATTCTTAAGCTTCAATCCATAAGTATTTACATATTTAAAAACTTGGTTATTAAATTATAGGGATAATTTTAGAGATACTATTATGTTTGCTCTGATACACTGACCTGTCTCATATCATATAATGTTACATTTATCTCTCTTATTTTTTTCGTAATAATTTGTTTACTTATTTTTCTTTAATGTAAATAAAACAAAATTTGAAAAATATGCATTTTTTCAGTATTAGCTCTTAGAATTAATTGATTTTATGAATATTCTCTTTAACAAATAGGCAAATATTTCTACAAATGATATTTATAAAATAGTCTTCACAATAGACAAAATTATAAGTTAGTTTTTATTTTTCTAATAGTTAGGACTTTAAAGTCAACAAAAATTTTCGATATTAAATCTTTACTTATTTTGAATTATAATTATTGTCTTATTATATTTGAACTACTATCCTTTTATGTATGCACTACGTATTATGTATGAACTACGTATTATGTAAGACTTTTTCGTTTCCTTATAGTTTTTCACGGCAATTTTTTTGTTGCCTTATAGTTTCTCACGGCAATTCCCATAAAAAATTTGTTTAGACATTCATTCTTTTTATATGGAACTTATTCCTATAGGAGGAGACTTCTATAGAATGTAACTATTAAAAGTAAGAGTTTTGTACTTAATTAAATACTTTTAAATATTGTATGTAATTTTGAGGTATTATTCAAAAATTAATTAAGAAAAAATTTCTTGTTCAAGTAGGAATGGAGTTAAAAATAATTATCTATATTTAACAGCACAAAGCCCCAATGCAAAAAAAAAAAAAAAAAAAAAAAAAAATTTTTTTTTGACGGGCCAATTGCTCAAGGCAGTGAAGTCTGCCTATCGCGCCCGTGTCGCGTCCGAAAATTTTTGAAGGAAGACAAGGGGATGCGTCGCGTCAAAGCTCGCACGCACAGGTAAGTAATATATATTTTAACACATCTTAAGATAACNAGCAAAAGAATCTAATTCAATTATTTTTCAAAATCTTCATGTAAGTAAAATTATTTTTAAGTTGATAAAACTCCTGAGTTACATAAATTTATTTTCACAAGCGCACTAACGGTGAAAGAAATTAGAAAATAGAGCAAAATTAGCTATTTCATAATATTATTTGTTACTTATTTTCAGTATTAGGTAACAAAAATAGCAATACTCTTCATCATATATTCCTACATAAGTCATCAAAAATCACAATAAAGTATAAAATGAATTTTATAGGGCAGTATTCTTTATTTATTGAACTAGCTATTGGATCAACGTTTATCAATTTTAAGAGCTTTTATTTTCTTTTAACTTTTGTTCAATAGCTCAAACACATTATGTAATAATAATTATTTAATTTTTTTAAGATCGTATATTCACTTATATAAGGTACACGCGCAAAGCGCGTACCCGAAGACTAGTATATAAAATAAATGAGTACATATATTTTAGAATTCTTTGTCATTATTTTTTGCAAATTAGTACTACCGTATGTGTTTTAATCTTCCACATGATATTGGCTAGTAGAAATTCACCCAACCTCCTTTAGCAAGTCGCAGGGATTTTTTCTACAAAACTATCGAGCAAGTTTAATTTTATTGAAGCTATTAATTTGCAGATATTTCGAGCAATAGCTTTGATAAAAGCCGTAAAATACTGCTTGTATAGTAAAACGTGAAAAACCCTTTTGCCCGCAGAGATAGTTAAATCTGAAAATTAATTGCTTTTTACCTGATGTATTATTTATGCCAAAGTTTGAGAATTGGGTTTACATCCCACTTCGGCGCGAGAGCGCCCGACTAGTGAGCTATTATGCACTTTTTTTAACGGTGGCTGCTTCTCGACAGATTTCTTGGTTGTCTCTGCATCCCTACCTCCTTTATCTAAACGATCATTTAAAGCCTTAGCTGATGATCCGGGCTATTTCCGTGATAAAGCTTATCCCCTATCGTCTCACGAGCCAACCTTGACCCGTGTTATTTTGAGTTGGAAATAGCATTATTAACGGGAACAAAAACAACTGCCAAGAATATTATTAGCATCATCTAGCTAGGAGCCTTTCTCTTAAATTTCTCCGATCCCTGACTCGCTAAACCAACTTAAGTTACCTTTAATTAAAGAGTGATGTTACTGTTGGAGCCAATATTATAGTACAGTTTGTGTATTACAAGTGTTGTATGAAGTACAATTTGAACCCAAACCCATCTAATTCGTCCAATTCGTCCAAAGATTAATGGTTTGGGCTACAAATATTTTAGCATATGGGTCTATTTGGGCTGAACCCGACCCATTATTTTTTAGGAATTTTTACCTCCTTTGCTAAAGGTTAACACCATATTTATTTTAAATAAATACCATTTAAAAAAATTATATTTTATAGATATCTTTTAACGTTTATAGCAAAATATTTAATTTTGGTTACCTCCTAGCCCTAAGCCACTAAATACGCTAATCAGTTACACTATTTTTTTTCTCTCTCTACTTTGATACATCTCATTCTCTTCCCCCATCCCACTAAAATTTCAAATCTCTTCCTCCGATCAACTTTCACCAATGGCCGCAACAAAGAGTCCCCTCAATCCAGAGCTGATTCGTGGAGTGGGAAAACTTTCCCATTCCAAGTTGTACCACAAAAAGGTTCTATGGGCAATCAAGAAGAAAAATGGTCGCCGACACTAAACTTATTTGTGTGCAAAGCCCCCATCCTGTTATAACAGATGCACTGATTCTTGAAGATTACTTTGTTCAAGATTCTCACCAACAATCTTTATGCTAATAAAATTGATTTTCTCCTCTCTCCCTTTCTCTGTCCCTTATTTCCTTGATTTGTAGATATATTAATTATCAGTCAAAACTAATTCTTGTGCAAAGCCCCCATCCCATTATAATAGATGCACTGATTCTTGAAGATTGCTATGTTCAAGATTCTCACCAACAACAGTAGTCGCCGACATTAAATTGATTCTTGAACAGCAGCCGCCGACATATAATCCGATTAGTTTGTTCTTGAATAAAGACGATGGAGTTTAGGGCTGAGCAACTTGATTTTCTATTAATATATTTCAATATTTTTTCATGTATTTCATTGTATTCATTGTCTTTTTTTTCATTGTAATTCGATGTGTCTCGTTGTATTCCATGTATTTCATTGTATTCACTATTTTTTTCTCATTGTATTTCAATGTATACCGCTATATTCTATGTATTTCATTGTATTCACTGTCTCGTTATATGCCATGAATGTATTCATAAGTTTTTTTTAATTAATATAATTTATGTATTCAGATGTATTATATAATTTCTCTGAAGATTGCTATGTTTTTGGGGTGTTTTTCGGTTGAGAATCTTTTTTATAACTAAAAATACAAAATTTGTGTGTTATAATTGAGTTTGTTGAGTTATATTAGGAGTCTATTATGTTAATTGATTCACTTTCCGTTTTAAAAACAGTGTAATCCCCTGTTTCATGCCGTGAATACAGTCGAATACAATAATCTATCCAGTTGTAATCTCATGTTTCACTCCATGAATACAATCGAATACACTCGAATACAACAACTGATTAACTGGACTTCCCTGATTCACGCCTATTTTTGCAACTGTATTCATGAATACAATAGCTTAAATATATTAAATACATCTTATAACCACATAAAAGGTATCTATAATCCGTAATATAGTAAATGGTATCTATAGATGGCTAATTACTACTAAAAGATAGTGCTTTATGAAAATTTCCCTATTTTTTATAGCATATTCTGACTCATTAAGCAACCTAAATACAACACATGAAACTCACTCAAAACAAAGGGATTCCAACCCAACTTATCTAGAATTTTACCTTCTTTTTTTTTTGTTTTTGTATTTTCAATTTTCTGTTTTTTTTTTATTTTCCTGCACCACCCACCCTACCACCTACCCCTGTGCTAACCCCCTCAAGATTTTTATTTTATTTTTTTTATTTGTGTTTTTAATTTTCCGTTTTTTTTATTTTTCTGCACCACCTATCCCCGCGCAAACCCCCTTAAAAAATTTATATTTTAATTTTCTGTTTTTTGTTTTTTCGTTTACTACACCACCCACCCACCCCCACCCGCAAAATATTTTTCAACTTACATATTTTAAGGTAAAAGGCTTTTTTATGCAAGATGAGCATAGTTCTAAAACATGAGTCAAGTTTGATGGGTTGGTCTATGACCCATTGTTTAGCCCATCTTAGCCCAAGTACACTTTGGACTGGGTTGGGCAATGAACCATTTATTGACACAACTCATCTTGACCCGCCCAAATTCAGCCCAACCCGTCCATTTGTCACCCCTAATTACTAAGTTACAAAGCTCTTTACACAAATTATTCCAACACTGCCAACTTTATTTTCACATTATATACCGAACTAGTCCTACTTGTTAATCGGTCACTGCAGTTCAATAAAATAGTTATATAAACCTTTTCATAAGCCTTTTCTGTTCTTCTCCCCCTCCCCCCAACCCCAACATACACACACACAGTTTACCAGACTAGCTAGGCTGAAATAGACAATACATGAATTTTAATTTGATAAAGAGCAAACTATCTTTTGAGCAGGAAACTATATTTTAAACCCAAAAGTAAATCCAGAAGCTGTAGATCAATCTTTACAAGCTAATAGTACTTCTTCATTTACTAATTACTACACAAAGAAGTAGCTTTTTTTCTTGATAATACGAACTTATTACTCAATTCAAATTAAGCATCCCACTCTCAAATGATTACATATATAAGCCAGGATTAATCAACTCAAACAGTTTAGAATTACAGGTGAGGATAAGGAAGTGATTTTCTACTTTTGTACATGGAAATTGACATATCACCTAAAGGTAGATTCGATTCTCGTGAATTTTTTACGTGCATGCGTATATAACTATAATATATACCAACTTGATGAACTTGAGAAATTCAAGGATATATGAAGATTATAATAAAACTAAAGAGATGGACCCCATACGGCCATACATGTGGCAATCTGATTATAAAGGGAGTCTTGCGGTTTCAAGTGACAACTAATTGAGTCAATAATTCCTTCTTTGTTTCGTTATAACAAACAAAGAAAGTCTCATTAACACTTTAAGAAAGTCCCTTCTCAAAAAGAAGTCTATAAAGATTCAATCATTGTTTGCCTTGGGTTCCAAAGGCAGACTAATACACAAATTCGAAGCACTTTTCAGCCACATGCAGCCAAGCTCGCATTGATGCCCATGAACTTTATCTGTTATCTCTTCGCCTTTTTTTTCCTTTGAATATTTCATCTTGATATAAATTTATGAAATAGAATGTACACGTATTTTATATTTTACGGTGTTAAGAATATTAATTTCAAATCTAGAGCTACATATCATTTTTCATGGTTTTGTATTATTTAAACGAAAACGAATTGTTTTTATGACTTTGGAATATAATCGAAAGCTAGCGATATAGGGGAAAAGAGTTTTCATCAAGATCAACATGATAATTCTTGCTTTGGGGTCTAAATAGTAGAATGAATAAATTAAATACGGTTGAGGGGATAGCTAGAACGACATTTACGTTTGCATCAATTCATACGTTGTCACATTGGCGAGTGCAACCTAGAAGTACTAGTACTATGATAGAACAGGAATAAAACTGCTATAAAAAGGACTCAAGGATGCATTAACAGTGTTTTTGACGCTATCAATGTAGTTAGCATGTAATAGCGAAGTTAGTTATCATATTTACAAGGTTATCAGTTAATTTATTATACAATTTACATAAAATGACCCTATAAGTCACATGATACAGTAAATTTTCACATTGATAATGCATGTAATTTTAACTCAGAAAGGGAAAAAGGGAAGCCGCTGATTGCATTTTTACGTAGATGCTTCAAAAGTAAGAGATTCAATCAAATATTTACTCAAAGTTGCTTTCAAAATTTCCAATAATAACTCACTTATTCCAACCAACTATATCGCTGACAAAAAAGGTACCCTCCTTATATTCCATTACAAAGGCCACCATCTCGAATGGATCCCTTCTCCTTTTTGTATATATATCTACCCAATTGTCATCCATTACTCCATTTCTGAAAACACCATGGTCTCAAAATTCTGCCTTTTTCCTCCACTAATGATCCTAACATTAACTTTCAGTTATTCTTTTGGAAAGGCTCAGTCTGAAGTAAAAAGTTCTAATGAAGGCATTCTCTATGCTTCACCACCACCACCAAATGAATGTCCCTATTCTTGCCTTCCTCCACCCACCCCTACCGACTGCCCACCTCCACCACCTTCACCGCAGCTACCAACTCTCCCTGCTGCATCACCGCCGCCACCTTCAGGGCCAGTTTACTACCCTCCACCATCGGGGTATTATTTGCCGCCGGGTGGATACTTTTTCCCTCCACCAGTGTATGAGTATGGCCCTCCACCTCCTAATCCAATTTTGCCTTACTTGCCATTCTACTACAAGAATCCACCACCACCATTCGATTACTCATCGGCTGCCAGTCATTATGGGACAATCAAAAGGATGAACAGCAAGTTATTGATACTAGTTACACTTTTCCTTGGTTAGTTTCAGTAATGCACCAAATGAAGGTACGATTTTGTTTCAGCACACTAATTTTCTTTTAGCATTTGGCTTTCGTTAGAAGGAAGTTCATCTGTAGTGCAATGTAGTACAAATGACTTTTTTCCAGACACTATCTTTTACCTGTATCTTCTCCGAGGGCAACAGTACAAGTGATAAGTACTCAAATTCTCAATTTCAATAATTGTCTATTATTGAGAGTAGTAAATTGAAAGAAAGAACATCACATTCCTTCCAACTGTTTTCTTCTCATACAATTTTTTTCACCTCTAAACAAGTTCAAGGGTTTTCTACAACGAGTTAGTACGTTAGTCATAACCGGCCAAAATTCTGGAAATGTCAGAAAGAAGGAATACAACTCTAAAATATTATAGCAATGGCATAAATGGGATCTAACACTGTCAGCTAAATTGACACAATGATTTCAAAAGGAAAAAAAATGGATTTAGCCTAGAGGGCAAAAAGGGGTATAACCAAGAATCTGGTGGCAAAAAGTCCCCTCCTAGTTCATGGTTTACATACTCTGATTCACAAAGACATGTATAGCGCTAGCACTTATAACTTGTCTAAAATTCTACCACTTATTAATTTCATCTGATAAATGGTCATTTACAACAAATAGTATATAAAGCCAGATACCTGCTTTATATGATTTTGCATATATTGATGTATGGCGACTTTCAACTCCAATAAGTTAGAGTAACTACCAACGCAGCCGGTGAACTTTCTACACGTTCCCCAATTTTGCACTCCCCACAGGAAAACCTAATCAGCCAAGTAAGTTCACAAAACACCAGAGTCCAAAGCTTTGATTGTTTTGCGTCGCCACATAGCAGTTCCTGGATCAAACCTCAGCTCCCATGTTGGCCAGTAATGTAAATCCTGCTTCAATGTAAGTACTCGAGGCTTCCCATTCAGGTGGACTGTTCGTACCCGGACAAACTCTCCGTGCTCTATTGTCTGTGAAAAGTTAAATAGCTAAGCATAAGAACCCGGATAGTAACAAGATCTCAACCAAAAACTATAAGATCAGTTAGGATTATTTTATGCTGATATTCATAGCTTTCCATACACATACAATGTTTACAAATCATCTCAGAATAACAAGTCATACCTTCGCCACGTCAACAAAGGCATCCAAAGTGGGAGTTGGTTTTCCATTGACTTCAACTATCCATTGAAGTGCATAAAGACCATATCGATGTACTGGACTTCCATGACACCACCTGAGAGTTACTTTAGGCATTAATAATAGTGGACAAATAGCTAATAGCTAACTCAACAAAAGATGCCCAACTGCCCTTTCTTTCTTTTACATTAGAAGCATTACCAAATGCATGCATCATGAAATTCAGAAAGGCTCAACGAGCTTTGTCTGAAACAAAAAATCCTTGCTACATGCTGATCAGTGATTTCTCTTTGCCCAACAAAGAGTTTTTCAGCACATCTAATAATTTTACTAACTAGTAACAATTATTCTCTCTATCTTGTCCTTTCTCTTTTTAATAATAACAAGGAATAATTATAATAAACTCTATTTTTCAGTTGATAAGTTATGAGGAAATTGGTTAACACAAGAATATTTCTGGTTTCTTTCAAATAAAGTCTACCCATAGGTGTAGGAAACTTGAAAAAGATATATTTTAGCCTTAATTTCGACTTTGCTCTTCATTTTAACACAAATGCGTAAAAGAAAATTATTTCCTTTTTCAATTATTTTGCTGCAATTTTCTCAAGAAACATGCTTCCAACTTTCTTAACATCTAAACGAGCCTTCCAGCCTAGCAACTACTCACCTTGCTACATATACTCCGTGTCCTTCCTCGGGAAGAAATCCAAGTGCACGTACAGCTGGATGAGGATCTTGGACAATAGAACCACACCAATTTATAGCACGAGTTGTTCCATTTCCATCCCTCACATCTGTTCCCACAAGTAGTTCAATTTCATGGCCCTGAGAATTCATCAAATAACTTAAAAGAATCTAAGAGAATGAAGAACTGAGTCAAGCAGGACAGCAAGGAAGTTTAACAGTAGTGAAGTCCTTTTGGCCAAATACATGAAAAAGTTTGGGGAAGAAAATGAAAAAGAAATGCACCAGAGGCTCACCTGACGAAAAATTGTCAAGTTAAGCCTTCCTTCGCTGTCATCAGACCTGTCTAATGATTGACATGCATCTTCGATGTCACGAAAGCATGTAACTGGCTCTTTATTAATTGCTAAGACCATGTCCCCTTGTTCCAATAAATTTTCAGCTTTTGATCCAGCAAAGCAACCTTTAACTCGCAAAACTTGGCGTCTCATAGGGTCCTTCTTTACGAGGGCCTAGAAGATATGCCAAATGTTAAGAAAATGCTTACATAATAATACGCATATGGTGCACCCATTTCAAACATCTACTGATGATTATCCAAGTATGTTTTATGCTCACTAATCATAAAACATAGTCTTGATTATAAGATATATAACATCCAAAAAAAGAAGGTTAAATGGGGCTGAAGCAGACAACAAGAGGCATACACAGGAACATAAACCATACATATTTTTTAATAACAAAAACTAGGGCAAACAATTCAAGCAATCAGAGATGCTCATGATCATGTGCAGATCCACGGATCTCCCATCCAACCAAATTCCAAACATAGAAGGAACACTAGATTGTGATAGATACAATATGGAACTAACTGGGTTCAACGTCACTTTTTTACCTGTAAACTTTAGAAGACTAAAGTCAGGGTAGGAAGTGCACAGTTAAACATAATAGTACCTTATTTGCGTGACACAGCCATTTTAACATATCAATGTATTTTAAAATTAATTGTTATCACAATAAGTAAATTTAAGAAAAGCTACACGATAAAATTAGTAAATTGTATCTTCAAAAACATAAGATTCAGATCTTACCATTTGAGTGCACATGTTTTTTCACATTTAACGAGCATAAAAAGGGTAGCCCGGTGAACAAGGCATCCCGCGTTCACGCAGGGTCGGGGGAAAGGCCGCACCCAAGGGGTGTGATGTAGAAAACCTACCCTAGTGCAAGCATTAGTAGTTGCTTCCCTGGGTCGAACCCGTGACCTACACGGAGACAACTTTACCGTTGTCCAAGGCTCCCCTTCCACATTTAACTAGCATATACAAACATTACCATTCCAGAACTGTTCAGGATCACAAACATGGGGCACGCCTATATATACACACACAAATCTAGAATACGAAGACACCTGGTCACCATCAAATAATCCTCGCCTAGTTCTCTACGAGGGTAGCCTAAGTTGTTAGAAAAAGCTTTAAAGGATATACATTTCAAAGAAATACATCTAGTTTCTACAGGTGCATTGGCTAAGTAAATCTTTTTAAATCAGATAACATTAAAAAGAAAAATATCACACTCGAAGTAAGATATGGCTAAAAGGAAAAGCAAACCAAACAGATATCTTCAGAAGTAGCGGCTTACCTGGATCCAAGTATCATTGAGTCCGAAACTCCGAGCTTTGGAAAGCAAAGTTGGGTAAAGTTCAACTTCTAATATTCTTAATCGTGGCATAGGCCTTTGCAAACAATTTATAAGACGAGGAGGTCCGTCGGCACTGGAAATAATCTTGCCAAGGACTTGGCTTAAGGTATAAATTGGAATACCCCGGACAAATTGGTGATCTTCTGATGAACTACAACCATATTTGAGCTGAGAAAATGGAAGAAGTAAACCCAGTTATTTTATCAAAAAAGAAGCTATAAAACTAGTTTCATCCAATTAACAAGAGAGAAGTGCCAGATGGGAGTACAAACCTGTGTTGAAAAGCTTCCCCATAAAGCTTGAACCCTACCGCGCTCATCAGTCAGCACACCAGAAAACGTACCTCCAAAATCTGAAAACGAGAATCATGATAGCATCAAAGAAATGCCTAAAACAAAATGCCAAGCTACTATAGGATTATAGAATCAGGAAGACAAGTGGGACAGTTTTACCCGTGTCAAGCTCAATCACTTCCATGTTTGTGGCTCTGTATCGTGAACAATCAGCAGATCCAATATTCACAGCAGCAGAAGGGTTGGTCACAATTGATTTCCTGGAAGTTGCCTGCAGACTTCTGCTCAATCCCACAAGATATACTGAATCTCCACGACGAAGAGCGGGATCTGTTGGCAACAAAATAGTTTTAAAAACAATAGCAGATAATACTACGGATAAGATAGCATCTTTCCTATGCTTTCTAGGAGTCTGTAGACATAAGTCTAGTAATCATACTTTTTTATTTTGTAAAATGTTGACCTGAGATGAATTTAAATGGGGAACATGGTCAGTGAGGATTCATATATCCGACCCCAACTTGTTTGGAACTGAGGCATAGTAGTTGTATAAGACAACATTTTCTGGAAGACATATAAGCACATCAAGTTAAATAGGACCTGCATGGGTTCCACTTCAATAATCATTCAAAGGTATCCCACTCATCATAAGATCGTCATTACATTCAAAGAAGGGTCTTCTTTTTAATATACATCATTGGCACGGTACATTAAGCTTGTATAACAGATCCATTTTGGCAAGAGTATATCAATAAGGAGCGGGAGACAACTGTTATCAAAACTCAACTAGGTTACAAGACCACTAAACATACAATAATATTAAACGATGATATAGTAAAAAGAGAAGAGATAACAGATGGTGCTAAAGCGGGATTATGTTCTAAAAAAACTAAAGCACATTATGATCAGAGCTGGATGTCTAAAACACCATCCAACAAGTAGGAGCTTTTCTAATTTCGACTGCAGTCACATTCTTGACCCAGAAGTGTATCAACAATGCACGAAAAGCAACTAGAATAGAGACAAATCACTTCGTCAATCCATCAGCATCAACAATAAAAAGAAAGGCATCTTTTTGGTGAAGTCTAAGAAAGGCAATGCATAAAGAATCAAGAGAGGAAGTTTGCACTCACCAGGAAGAAGTTCAGCAGCACGAACAGCCGAAGCAGCAGCAGCTCCAAGAGCAGAAGGATCATATGCGACTAGAGCAAAATTATGGACAGGATGGAGGAAAACTACCTGAAAATATTACCGAGCTGCTCAACACAAATTAGCTGATATAGCAAGTAAGAGTGTTAACAACAATAGGTTTTACCTCTCCAGGAATCTCGATAGGAAAAGCAGCAAAAGATAGCATTATATCAGAAACTGATACTGCAACAGTGTTTTTGTCAACTGCAACCAAGCCCATGTTTTGGGAATGATATATGATTACACCAGTTCCAAAAAAATGCTGTGAGTGAACTCCATCAAGCATACATAATGATGGTACGTGGACCTGCAATTTTCAAATCATTTTTATAAGTTAAAGATAATTTATTAATAGATACCAATACCAAGCCAGTACTGGGGCATAATACAAGGATATTGCAGGGTATGAATCATTTAAAATGTAAGGACTCCGAACTCTAGCAATACATCAATTCCAGTAGAAAAATATAGCATTACACCACATTTTCAAACATTGGATATATCTTTTTTTTCACAATTCAAACATTTTCTTCCTTTCCCTCAAAACATCTTTTGTTCCTCTCGAGCCCAGTATTCCAGATTATGAACTTTTTTATTTTTATGAGGTAAATAATCATGAGAGAAACTTATAACCAAGAAGATGGATATAGGAATAACCAGAGCACCATACATGTCTAGATATACCTCCCAATTACAGCTGCCAAAAAACAAAGAGGAGATGTGCTCTATACACACATACACCTGCACTGATTCTTCCACTTAGATGATAAAATTAACCTTCCAGGAATCACAAAGAAAGGAGAAGGGGTTGCGGTTAGCAAACAAGTTATACAATATACATGCATTACAATATAGAGATTGTCATATGATATAGTGAATGAGTGAATCACGTAATTGCTATCAGATGTTTGATTCAACGTTATTAGAATCTGATGAGTAATTTATTTTTTGGATATACACGTATAAATCTAAGATGTGTAATGTTATTGCACGTCGAATCAGAATAAATTAATACACCTTTACAGTATTACTAATGTTGAGATCATTAATACAGAAGCACAACGAAATGGCAACAGAACAGCTGATAATCAGAGCATAATTTAATACAGGGATTACTTCTCGATACTGGTAACAAAAATAACCCCAAAGACCAATGCTCAGTAAGTGAAACTGCTTTGGAAACAAAACCCAACTCCAGTAACGCGAGAAACAGACGTAGGAGTAACAAAAGCTACCTCAAACATCACAAGAGTAGGCTCTATCGCACGCTCAGCAACGGAGGCATTAGCTGCCGCAGGTGCAGCACCTTGATCTCTTAGAGCTGCATCCTCTAGGGAGCCGGAGTCGTCGAACCTTTCCTCTCTATGTCCATTTAAAGAGCGGTCAGTTATTAAACTGCCTTCTGCAGAAAAGTTTTCTTCCACCCTGCGTTTCTTAGTTCCAGCATCAGAATCATCCTGACTGTTTGGTCCCTCTGTAACATCGTCACAACTAGTTTCCATATTGGTTACACCGTCCATTGATTCTTGGCTGACTTGTTGAGGCTTATTATCCTTTGGACTACCCTCATTAGCACAAGAAGAAACAGTATGATTTGATAAATCTTGTTTGCCTGGATGGATGCCAGAGAATAGAAGTGGGGACTCAGGTGGCAAAGCAAGTTTCACCGTCCATAAGCCAGAGCTGTCATCACGTTTATATAACTGAGGAGGTGCATACCATTCATGGCGGTCAATTGTGACCAGGACTGACTGCAGCAAAAGAAGTTCCTATGAGAGGGCCTTGGTACAAGGAGATAATAAAAGCGCCAGAGGAATTTTTCTACATCTACTAACAGGCTGAGTTAAATTAGCAGACAATTGATTTCCAGAAGCACAAGGGAGAATCTGTGAAAACATGGTCTTTCACATTCTTTATAGAAACAGAAACCAGGCTAATTTTTTTCATACCGGGGAACTTTTTGAAATATATTTCTGACAGCAGCTCACCTTCATAACTCAGTAAATCATTGGTTCACGAGGCTTCATGTTCAAATGGTTAACTACACTAGAAGACTAAACAACAAGACAAAAAAAAAACAAGACTAACGGCGTCTACATGCAGGTAAAATTTGCGATCATCTATATCACCCCCCTCCAAAAACGCCAAAACTGTCAAAGAGGACAAAATACAATTCTTCTGATGTTTTCTGGGGTTCAAAGACCATTTAGACAACCATAAAACTGATGCACATATTCACATTTTCCCGCCATGATCCCAAAATGTAGGGTGACAACACAACTCCACATGCTATTAATTTTTCTTTTTATTTCATCGACCCTCTCAAATACCAACTCCAGGTAGGGATAAGGCTGCGGACACATTACCCTCCCCAGACCCCACTTGTGGGAATTATGTTGTTGTTGTTGTCGACGCTCTCAAATAAGATTGATACTCTACTTTCACCCTGACATATCAGTAGTAATAGCAGACTGCAGACCCACTAGGATCCATATCTTTTGCCCGTGGTTTGTGCAAAAAAAATAAAACCAACAGAGACTGGCACTTGTGACTTCGCAACCCAAAATTAGTAGATGAACAAATTATCATGTTTTGCCAAGAAACAGAAGGAAAGGGCAGTTGAAAGCAGGAACTAGATGTAGCTGTTAAAGAGGCAATGATTGTTGTCTGAAAGATAGCAGAGCACAAGTGGTGAAAATCAACATCAGCAAAGAGGCACCACTAATACCTTTTTCCGGTGACGATCACTGTAGCTTATATACTCCAACGGTACTCGTGCACCCCTAGACAACTTAGATAAAACAGAAATTAAATCT